AAAAAAAACAGAGAATAGGTTTCTAACTACAATGGCAATTCAGTTTCCTAGGAGAGGTGCCCCAACTCCTCATTTTCATCCTCTAAGGAACAGACTTCTTCCAACTCTGGTGGTCTGAGAGAACTGAGGAAAGGAAGCCAAACCCTGGGGGAGGGGCACAAACACTGAGCTTTCAGAAGGCAAAGGACTGGCAGTAAGCAGCACATTTTCAGCAAGGACACTAAAGGAAAACTCAGGAAAGTGATTCATGAAGACAGACAAAAAGCTTACTGAGTGAGAAATTAACAAACATTTGCAGAGAAGCATAACTGAAAGGACAAATACTTCCCAATAAAGGAAAATGAATCAAAAGCCCTGAAGGTGAAGGTGTCATAATAAATTCTGCAAAGTCCCTTGAAATGACCAGCATTTTTATACACTACTAACAAAAACAGGAAGAAGCAATGAGAGAAATCTGATCTATATCAGGTATTTAATCTACCTTGACACACACAGGACATAAAAATGTAACTACAAAATACTCATGACAGAAATAAAGTGAAGCACAAATGGTGTTCAAATGGGCCAGCACTCATGGTTAAACAATAGTTCTATATCAGTCTAATTATAGAAAGGACATTTGTTGGAAGTTCACAAGATAATAACAGAATTTATTTGGAAGCACAAACAAGAATGAAAAGGAAAATGATGAATGAAAGTGCATAGCATTACCAGACTTCACAAATATTATAAAACAGTAGTCACTAATACTACCGGTTAAAAAAAGCAGAAAAGTGAATCAAAGCAATAAGGTAGGTAAATGGGGGGGGGGGGAAGCAAGTGGCAATAATAGTCCAGTGTCTCATACACCAAAGAACACAACTTACTGAGAGTAGTTCCTTTTTTTGAGAAAATCTATTGGGATAAATTGACATCAAGTTTTACAAAATCCTGATTAGACCAGCATCTTACACAAAATACCACAATAAACACAAAGCTAAACATGACCTTAATATAAAAATTCACATCACAAAAAAAATGAGAAGAGAATGGGAGCAAGCACCTTTAACAACTATGGAAAGAGGGAATATTCTCAACCAAACAAGGGGTAGAGATAAAGTAAAAGATAAACCAGACAATTTTACTTACAATTTATGAATAAAATTCCAATGTGAGATATAAGGGGAATTTTATACAAAGACAGCACATGAAGGGACATGCCCTGATAGAAAAATGATTAAAGGATACAGATAATTTTCAAAAGAAGATTTGAAAACTACAAGATCCACATGAAAACATGACCCAAATTACTAATAGTTAAGAGAAATGTAAACTAAAACAGCTTTTAGCTTTCACTTCACACCATGCAAACCCAGCAAAGATGAAAAAAAGATAGAAGTCAGTGACAAATAGGTCATGGGGAGACAGCTGATGCAGTGTTGGGAGAGCTGTGAAGGGGCCCACCTGTTCTGACTTCATTATGGAATTACACGAGAAAAGGGACTGAAATTTCACTTTGAGACACAGGAATCCCACAAGTAGGCTCAAGGAAGTCAAAGACAGACAAAAGTCTAATATATACCAAAATATTCAGAGCATCACTCTTTGAGGTAGCAAAAAACTACAAACAAATAGATTAGGGAAAGTTTTGAAAAATTATACCATACTATGGAAATTATGCCTTATTATAATTATTGTGAAGTGAGGAATGGCAAATATGAGGAATTCAGAGGAATATGAGAAAATGTTTATGAACTGATAACAATACAAAATAAGTAGAACCAGTAAGACAATATACATATTAATCACAATAATGTAAATGAAAAGATCACTAAAAGGAAAAAGAACTCTTGAGAAAAGGAAAAATCAATGACAGCCTCAGAGAAGGCGAAGGGGAAAAGAAGGGAATAAATATTTATACAGTGCCTACTATAAGTCAGGCACAGTGTTTTTTACAAATATTATCTCATGTAATCTTCACAACAATCCTGCAAGGTACAGTTAAGGAAACTGGCGCAAAGAGAAATGAAGTGATTTGCCTATGGTCACACAGCTAATAAGTGTCTGAAACTGCATTGGAACTCAGACCCTTTGGTTTCCATGTCCAGTACTCTATCTACTGTACCACCAGGAGAGATAATAAATATTCATCCTCCTTCAAAACATGGATGGAGGGACTACAAGGACAAAATATATCTCATTATGTCAGACAAAATTTCTCTATCATTAGATTGGTTTTTTTAGTTTTTGCCTAGTTATCTTTCTTTGTTATAAGGGAAGGTTTAGTAAGAGCAGAAAGAATGACCAATATAAAGACAAATGACATCAATAAAACATTTTTCTTTAATTTTTTTAATAAAGCAAAACTAAAATAATTGGAGATACTCACTGCTTATAGGTAGGCCATGTCAATACAATTAAAATGATGATTGTTACCTAAATTAATATTCAGTACTATATCAATCAAATTATCAAAGGGTCACTATTTAGAAAGAGTAGGAATAAAACCAAATTCATATGGAAGAACAAAAGGTCTAGAATTCCTATGAAATTCTTAAGAAAAAGGTAAGAAATAGCTTTATAAGAGATAAAACTATACTATAAATCAATAGTCATCAACAGTATCCAATAGAGGATAGAACAGAAAAAAAACCCATCAGTGGTACATACTGAAGAAGGAACTGAAAAGAATATTCCGGTGTTTGATAAAACCAAGAACATAAAGTACTATGAGGGATTCCTTTTTTGCCAAGAACTGACAGGAAAACTGAAAAGCAATTTGGTAGCTATTAGGTTAAGATCTTACATCAAATAACACAATAAGCTCAAATGGATACATGACCTAAATTTTAAAAAGACCATAACATAAAAAAATATTAGAACAAACAAGATCAGGTACTTTCAGAACTAAGGCTAAGGGGGAAATTATTAACCCAGAAAGAGACAGAGGAAACCATTAATCACTTGGTCAACAAGCAATAATTAGACTATGTCACCATGCACAGTATAAGTAAGGCACTGGGGAAACAAAGACAAAAATGAAACTGTTCCTGCTGTCAAGGAGCTTATAATCTACAAAGGGAGACAGAAACAGATAAATACATAAAAATACAAACAGGGTAATGGGGGAGAAGAGGCATTAGTAGCTAAGAGAAATCAGGAAAAGTCACTGAGGAGTTTCACCTGGGTTTTAAAGGGAACTAGGGATTCTTAGAGATGGGAGGGAGGACACGCACCCCTCTCATGGGGAACAAGGCTGTGCAAAGGCCCAGAGAAAGGAGATAAAGTGTTGTGTGTGAGGAATCACAAGTAGCACAGTTTGTCTAGGCCAAAGGATGTATAGTAATGTACACTAAGGTTAGCAATATAGGCTGAAGCCAGATTGTGAATACCTTTAAATGCCACATGGAGAAGTTTGTTTTTAATACTGAAGATATTAGAGAACAACTGGAGTTAATTGAGCAGGTAAGTACCAAGGTCAGATGTGTACTTGGGGAACATCATTTTAATAACTGTACAAAGAATGGATTAGAGAAAGGAAAAGGCTTAATTAGGGAAACCAATTAGGAGACTAATTCAATAGTCCAGACAAGTAGTGATGAGGGCCTGAACCAGGGTGGTGATCTTATAACTAGAGAAAAAGACAGCACAGGTGGGAGAGATGTTGTGTCGGAAGAACTAAAAGACCAATCATAACCTCCTCCCCGCCTTGTCATAACTGCAAAATGAGGTATATACTTTCAGACACTACCAAAGGGCTAATTTCTTTTGCTTGACAAGAATTACAAAGCAGAGCTGGAGGGGATGAGGGATGGCACAGAGAAGTGACCCTGATGTTTAAATTAAAAAAAAAAAGCATCAACAAAACATTTAAAGAGAAAAAATAAGCATCCAAAAAAAAGGTAATATGGTAAGGGCCTCAAAAGTACCTCATATACAACTCAGTTAAAGAAACTGGAAAAAAAAAAGCATGGTGTATTAAAAGAAACACTGCATTTGAGGCCTAGCACCTAGCTCTGCCTCTTCCCTCTTGTCATTTTATTTACTTCTCAGGACTTCACTTTCTTCATTTGCAAAATGAAGGGGTTGGACTAGATGTTGTCTAAGGTCTTTCTCTGCTCTAAATCTATGATATTCTCTTAAAATATTTGAAGGCTTATATGACAGAAGAAGGATTAGACTTGTTCAGCTTGCCCCCAAAAGACCAAACCAGAAGCAATGAGAGGGAACTACAAATGTAAATTTTGGTTCATTTTAAGGAAATACTTTCTAACACAATTATTTGTGTGACCTTGGACAAGTGGCGTACTTCCCTGGGTCTCACTTTGCCATTTGTAAAATGAGGAAGTTAAACAGATGACCCCTGATGTCCCTTCCAGCTCTAAATCTATCATCCTATGAACTAAAATCAACCCAATACAGAATAGACTGCCTCAAGAGGTAGTAGATCTTCTTAACAGAAGGGCTGGATGAGCACTTCTTAGCAAAGTTGTAGGAGGATCCTTGACCAGGAGTCAGTAGATTAAATGTTTTATGAGGTCCTTTCCATCTAAGATTCTGTTATTAATCAGAATTTTAAAACTCAGCCCTTCCTCACTGTTCTACTAGGTTGGAAATGCTAATATAGAACTGGAAAGAACAATGACAAGTTAGGAGAAAGAAGGAGGAAAGAAAACAAGAGAAAGATGAATAAGCCATAAACTATATTCCTTTAATAACTAAAAAGGGAATGTAAGATATAAGAGAATTCAAATTCAAATCAACCTATTTAATGGACCTTGGGAAAATAATCTAACCTTAATTCAATACGTCAAAGAATACCTTAGAGTAACGCCATGGGTATAAAATGGCTTCACATTTTCATTCATTTATTAATTCAACAAACATTTATCAAGAAACTTATGTGAAAGTCATGATTCAAGTTAACTTCTGTGCCTACCTATACCACAGCAATGCTACAGGCAATAAACTACAATAGCATATTACTGTTTTAACTACTGCATGAACCAAAGAATAAATACCTGTACTGTTTTTCCAAGTCCCATGTCATCACCAAGAATACATCCTCTTCCCAGGGAATAGTGTCCATATAGAAACTGGGCTCCTTCCCTTTGGTAGTCACGCAAATATCTATTAATTGTATATGGAATACAGTCACCATCTTCAGAGAGCTTAAAAGCAACAGCAGGTGATGGAAGTTTTTGGTCTGGGAAATAAGGCTTTTCCAAGTCAACATCATCAAACATAAAACTTCTGAAAGAACTTTTACCAGATGTTGCTTTATGGAGTTTTTTTAAAGGTACTTTCTTTTCCAGTGAACCTGAAAATAATACAAATGCAAATGATTTTCCATTTTCATCTGTCACGATGGATTTCACTGTTGCTTCATGAAGGTTTCCACTGTCAGTGACAGGAACAAGACATCTTTCTCCAGTGTGCCACATACCTAAAGAAATAAAAAAGGAAAACAATTTTCAAATTGTTATAATAAAACAGACGTATCTGTTTCCATATGGATACCCAGTAACATCTCATTTATCTGGCATGGTGGAGGAGTCTGTGCAGCACAGTGGAAAAAGCAATAGACTGAGAGTAAGTGGCCAAGTCACTAAACTCCTGGTCTTAGAACATTCATCTGTAACAAGAGATATTGGATTAGATTTTAAGGTCCTTTCTAGCTCTAAAGTCTGTGATCCTACAAGCTAAATTTTAGTTCAATTCCTCAAGCACCAGGCTCCTTCAAGAGAAAACCATGCACTGAGAATGAACAACAACAACAACAACAAAACCCAACCCCAAAGCAGCCTAGAAGAATTTTGGTCACAGCCCTAAGATGATGATGGATGACGAGGTGCCTATAAAGACGTGTTAAATTTGTAACACCACAATCCTAACCACATGATATGTGTATCAGAATACAGGTCTATCCCCTCCTCCTCAAAAGAGCAGAAACTCGTAGTCAGACCCAATGTAAATAAAAGAAAAATGTATAAAGACTTGCTATTGGGCAATATAACAAATAAGTGAATCTTCTGAAGGTCAGGGATGATAAATGTATTAGAGGTAGTCTATCATACAATTAGGTTGTATAACAAGCAAAGGATAAGAAACTAAACTAACAAACTGGAAATCTGGCTATTTGGACAAGGATGGAAACAGTAAACATGGAATCAACCTTAAAATCAGCAAACAGAAGTTATCACAGTGATAAGCAATGACTTAATAAGACATGTCATGGAATAATATTCACATTAAGTGAAAATTCCAGATAAATAAAATCATTCTTTAAATGTGCGCACACACATATATACGCATACTTTTTTTCATGAAAAACTTTCAAAACACTCAAATACAAGTGGATTTTTCTTTTCAAAGATGTGGGTATTCCCTCCTATAATGGAGATCCTATTTGACTCATTCTGTTCCCATTAAGTTCATAACTTTATGACTAGGGGTCCACCAAAAATGTTAGAAACCTTCCTTGCTTTTTCCTAGTATCAATGAATCACTCAGTCTGTCATCTGTCACACTTGCCACATGACTAGCCCTTCATCTTTTTCTATCATACATTCCCTAATGAGACATCTTTTACTCCAGGTTCATTTGGTATCTTGTGCAGTCTGTTCACACCTACATGCCTCTCCATTTCAATCTGTTGGATGATAATTTTCAATTCCTTCAAGACATTTGTATCTCATGTTTCACAGACCTTTAAGGTAAAACCCTGTTTTATTATACCAGTACACAGTTGTGTGTGTGTATGTATTTCCCCTTAAATACTAACACTTAGTCACTATTAGGTGACTAAGTAACCACAAGAAATTCCCCTTTTTCCTTCTCCTTGCTTTTTCCCTCTTCTATTCCCCAAAATATCTTAGCCCCTCAATTTGTCCCAGGCCAATCTTGGGGTCCAGAAGGAAGAAAAGCCATCTTCCTATTCTACTACTGCCACTCCCCAGCTCCAGGATCTCAGTGTCATCCTCAAACCCCTAGCCCATCATCTCTTCCTTTCCTCCACTTAAAAACTTGCCATAACTGTACTGTCACCTGTCACTTTTACCACTTATTTCTCAACTGCTAGCTTATTTTAAACACAACTACCTTGCTACCTGGATTCAGGGAGACTAACTTCAGGAAACCTAACTATGCCCCCAACTTGCTGACAAGTGTTCTGTAACCAGGACTGGGGAAGTGATGACTATATCAGCAGCAACCAGCACTAGTCAGCTTGGTTTTTCAGCAATAAAATGGATAAAAAATTTAAGAAATATTTTCAATAATTAAGTTTAAAATACAGGTTTTCTGGTTAGGTCTGAACTGACAATGCTCTCTGCCAAAAAGTTTACTATAAAAATCAATCAGCAAACATTTCCTTAAATGCCTTCTATGTGCCAGACACTAAGAAAGAACAGACAAAAGATAAAACAATCCTTGCTTTCAAGGAGCTTATGTTCTACTGGGAGAGAAAAAATGTGTGTGTGTGTGTGTGTGTGTGTGTGTGTGTATGTGTGTGTGTATATATATACACACATACATGTATATACACATATATATGTATATATATACACATATATATGTATATATATATACACATATATATGTATATACACACATAAGTACAATATATATAATAAATACAAAAAAAATACAGAATAAATACAAGGTAGTTAGGGAGGATACTTGCAATGGTTGGGTCAGGAAAGGATTTGTGAAGATAGGGGGAAGAAGTGAGGAGCAAGTACATTCCAGGTATGGTGATGGCCAGTACAAATACATAGAGCCAAGAGATGGAGCGTCCTATGGATGACACAGAGGGAAGGCTAGTTTGGTTTGGAGCACAGAGTACCTAGAAGGTGATAATATATGTAGAGGCTAGTAAGATTATATTACAATTACATAATGACCAAAGGTAAGTCAGTCAGTCAACTCGATTTCACAAACACAAAACACAGTCCCTGCTCTCAAAGAATTCACAGCCTAATGAGGGAAGCAAGCAAACAAATATGTACAAACTAGATATATGGAGAATAAATTGGGGGTAGTCTCAGAGGGAAGGCACAAAAATTAAAGAGGACTTGGAAAGGTTTCTTGCAGAAAGCAAGACTTTAGCTAAGACTTGAAGCCAGCAGCAAACAGTGAAAAAGTTCAACATTGGGAGATGGGAAATTTGTGTGTGAGGAATAGCAAAGAAACCTGTGTCATTAGATCACAGAGTATATGGGGAAAAAATAACATATGAGATGACTGAAAAGGTAGAAAGAAGGAAGGTTATGAATAGCTTTAAAAGCTAAACAGAGGATTTTACATTTAATCCTAGAGGCAATAGGGAGCCAATGAAGCATGTTGAAAAACGATCTGAGCTTTTGTTTTTGTTTTTTGGTGAGGCAATCAGGGTTAAATGACTTGCCCAGGGTCACACTGCTAGTAAACGTCAACTGTCTGTGAGGTTTTTTTTTGTACATAAATAATATTTAACACAACACCTCACAATTCTGGTGCAACCCCTTGTAATCTGGTTTCCAATCATATCATTCAACTGAAATTGCTCTCTTAACAATTTATCAATTTCTGTCCAACAGCTTTTTTTCAGTTTTCACCCTCTATGACCTCTACACTAACAACTAGGGAGATCAGGCAAGGCTTCCAGTAGAAAATGGCACAAAAGTTGAAGCAGGGGTTCTAGACCACTTTTGTGTCACTGACTCCTCTGGCAATAGATGAAGCCTACAGACCCCCTTTTTAAATGCATTAAGACAACACACACAGTAATCCAAAGGACACCAATTGTCAACTCTCGCTCTCTCTCTCATGCATTTATGTGTATAGATATATAGTATATATGTATACTATACATGTATATATAATATATAATATATATAATGTGTGTATATGTATAGTGTATTTATGTGTATAGATATATAGTATATATACTATATATGTATATATACTATATATGTATATATACTATATATGTATATATTGTATTATGTGTACATATAGTGTGTTTATGTGAGTGTGTGTACACACATAAATACATACACATAAAAATAAAGGTTCATACATCCCAAGTTAAAAACTCCTGGACTAAAACTGGAAGGAAACTAAGGGTTGTAAGAGGCGAAGTTGAAGGTGAACACTCCAGGAGACCTGGGCAAAAGCGGGGAAGGAGGAACTTACCCCCTCACTCCCTCCCTACGAAGGAAGAAACTCCGAGGAAAACGAAAATGAGGATAATATAACGGACTAAACCTAGATGTACGAGTCCTTTCAACTGGGAACCTGTACCTTCGGTTGCTTTTGCCCCAGGGGTCCATGACTCGGCAACCCGAGGACGCATGCAGAGGCGGCCGCCCGTCACGGGCCCTGCGGGGCCCGCCGGACCCGGCCCCACCTGACGCCCAACGTCGCAGCCATCGCGCAGGACACTCAAGGTTCGGAAGTCACCGGGAAGACGTCCCGGCCAGGGAGGGAGCACGTAGGGGGGCGGGGAGGGGGAGGGGACAGGTAGCACCAACTTCCGGCGGGGCGCTGGGTCTCCCTACCCACTGTGCGCCATGCCGGAGCTCAACCGAGGTGGGTAAATGAGGGTGGGGAAGGGGGCGGGGATCTCAGCGGCCCTCCCTTCCGCCCCACCCAACTAGCCTCCACTTAGCCTTTCCTTGCCTCCCTCTTCCAGGAAAATCTCGCGAGAGCTCGTACGCTAGCGGTCGGGCCCCGTCCGTCCCGAAACCCTTTTCCGGGTTTCCCCTCGGCAATGGTACCGCGAGATCTTGAACAGCTCGCGGGACTTGAGAAGGCCGAGCTGGTGGGTCTCCCTTTTCTCAGCCTTGGAGACCAGACCGTAACGTAGCCTCGGAGCAGGCGGCTGCTGAGAAGGGGCGTTCTTCGAAATGATGAAAAGTGGAGACCAAATCTGTGCCTAATGTTTGAAAACTGAGTGAACAGAGTGTGTTATGTAGCGCCAGAGGAGAGGAGGTGAAAGGCTTCGCGGCGGATGCAGTGGAGACGGCCTCCGAGTTTGGAAGAACCTGGTGCAAATATTGCCCCTGGCTCGGACGCACTGTGTGACCCCAAAGGAAGGCTCCTAATCTCTCTGTGCCCCTGCCGCATTGAGACTGTGAAGTTACAGGAGTGTTGATTATCATGACAAAGTGCTTGCCGACTTGAAAGCTCTGTAAAAGATAGCCATCAACTGCATATTGGAGGGAATTTACCCAAGGATGAAATCACCAGTTCGGTCTAAAATCAAAAAAGAAGACTGAAGACCTCAGAAGATATGCGAAGACATGTATAAAGTGATGCAAAGCGAGAGAGCAGAGCCAAAAGAAAAACGTAACATGCATAATGACTTCAGCCTTGTAAAATGGCAATAACAACAACAAGAAAAAGAAAAAATCAGGTCAAATGCAATGGACCTTGTTGGCTCAGTACTAACCTTCCTTTTGACTCGGGGTCAATCAATAAACTGCTATATAGTTAGGTTCAAATACTGTCAGTCACTGGGACCTGCTATTTTAAGATGTTTTGTGGGTGTGCTTGATAACTTGGTTTAATTATGAATTTTTGGGAGCGTATATGATGTAAGGAAGATAATTTATCGATTAAAAATAGCTTTCTCCAGCATTTTGTTTAGTGCACGGTACTTCTCATGTTTGACCCAGTTCACAGACGCCAGTGACAGCAGACGAGCCCCTAGAATCTCAAGACACAGAAGAGGGAATAAAGGCAAGAAGTTGATACAAATCAATATTTAAAAGAATGGTGAACTGATAAGTGGAGTTTCCTCCTCCTCTTCAGATCACAAATCTTACTAAGTTGTCTACAAGAGTGGCCAAAAAATTATTCACCTGGTATAATGAATCTCAGACCTTAACTAGTCAGATCCTCAGCCCAGCACTCCATCACTGGCCTTGCTCAATCCTTTCCACCTGGCCAAGACCGCCTGACTTTGTGCTCAGCTGGGTTGATAGGAAAATGATCCTTTAGAGAATCAAACTCTAAATGGGAATGAGGCATCAGAGAAAAGTGTTTTGCAGCAGTTGTCTCTAATAAATAGAGTAAAACTCTTCCTTTGCCTGTTTACTCGCTTTAAAACTCAATGGAAAATCCGTGTAGGTCTCATTGTCAAGTTGGTTTTGCCAAAGCTACAAAATCATAAACATTCATCTGTGAACTCTAAAATTTGGTACCATATTTGGTAGGAGATAGAGAATTTCTGTGCTGCTCACAATGCATATCTCACTCTCACACACACACACACACACACACACACACACACACACACACACACACACGGTTAGTACAGATTAAAGCTGGCTAGGTGCCTTAGGGAGCACAAAGGAAACCAAAAATATATAAAACAGTCTCTGTTGGTGAGTTTATAATCTATTTTTTAAAAATTTGTATCAAGTAGCAGCATGTGGTTAAAAATAAAGGTGGCTGGCAGACAGTATTGAAGTTTTTCCTAAATCCATTCTCCAGCTAATGACAGAAAACCATAGCTGATTTTTCTCCCTTCTCTTGACATACCTAAAAATGCATATTTATGCAATACAACTTGCCACCTGCAGTAAAATTTAGTGCTATATTTTGTCACCCTTTTCTACAGGTTTAAGCTTATAAAGCACTTTTTAAGGCATCCTTTCTAAAGGTAGAATATGTATAGACTATAAATTTTCCATTATAAATTGTGGTTGTTCTTTTCACCATTTACATCTTATTTAGTCTGTCTACATGCCTGATAAAACCAACTGAAAAGTTCAAAAGTTAGTCAAGTTGATTTTTTTATTTGCTGTACCCTGCCAAAAAACTGGTTTGTTTCAACGATTGACCAATTTTGGCATTGTATAGCCATAGCCTTAATTTTTTTTGCTTCTACCAGATGTCTTCTATTTTTATTGCCCTTATATTACTAGTTACTTTACAGTGTGAACTGAAATTTTCACAAACTATTCATTAGCTTTGACAGGAGCAATAGGGGATGGAGTTAAAAAGACATTGTGATTGTGGATAGATAAAGGAGAATTGTATTTCCTGTGAATCTGATGACATTTGTTATTTTATTTTACAAAAAGAATTGAAGAGTACAGTTTTGATTAAAGTTACAAAACTACTAATAAGTCTAATATAATACTTCTCACAAAACTAAAATGCTATTTTATGACAATAATAAGCAGCATTTATATGGTACTTTAAAGTCTATATTCGCTCATTTGATCTTTTTGGTCCTCATTTTACATAGGAGGAAACTGAGGCTCATAGCCATGCCCATGGTCACACAGCTAATGTCAAAGGGGGGATTCAAAACCATATTTCAGCAATTACAAATTAATCACTCCTGCTACTGCGTGCCTGACAGGTTCTTGCTAGCACTAAGAAAAAAAAATGTCATCATTCAACCTACTTAAATCAGAGAATTTCAGTGTTTTAAAGGACCTCAGAGATAACTGGTCCAACCTATGGTCTGAACAAGAATTTTCTCTACAATAGCCATGGATAGGTCAAACTTGACTTGAAGACTTCAAATGACAGGAAGCCTGTTACCTCCCAAAGAGAACTTAATATCTTGTGAGTAATATCTATGCAATCAGAAAAGCCACAGGGTTCTTCCCTGATTAAGGGCTACTAACCCTGTGGGTTCATTTCTCCTTCGGTTCTAGTGTGTCAGGCCTCCTGTCTGTTAAAATAAATCCATGTTGTTCAGTTATTTCAGTCATGTCCTCCTCTTCATAACCCTATTTGGAATTTTCTTGGCGAAGATACTGGAGTGGTTTGCCATTTCCTTTAACAGCTGATTTTACAAATGAGGAAAGTGAGGCAAACAGCCTTAAGTGACTTGCTCATGATCATGTAGCTGGTAATTGTCTGAGGTCATATTTGAACTCATGAAAATGAGTCTTTCTGATTCCAAGCCTAGCCACTTCAATACTTAGCTGCAAATTGCTTCTCTCAAGAGCAAATATTTCACAGGAAGCACGTGCCATCATTTAACTATGTTCTTTGTCCAATGAGAAGTAGCAAAGACCTTTTCAAACTAGGAATCCTGCCTGCAGGTATGCATAAATTTGCATTTATAATCCCAAGAATTAGCCTTTCCTGGCCAAGAAAGTAAAGATCTTATCCTTAAGGACAACAAGTTCTATCCACTCATGAGAAGTAGGTAACTAGGCTGATAACTATGATAATATAAAGCAATCATGGACATGTCACAAAAAAATTATGAAGGTTCATATCACTCCAATATGAAAAAAAAAAACTCATTTGATGCCTTGAGAGAAAAAATTCTCTTCCCAGTAGTAAATCTATTGAAGAAAACAAATTAAGATTAAAAGGTTGTTACACTGGCACATGGAATCAAAACTAAAAACTATCCAAATTGCTCGACCTAATTCATCTAGGTGATTATTTTTGACTGATTTCAGCCAACTTTTCCCTAGCCATTTCTGGAAACATTGCCTCCATCTTCCCTTCAGACTTCCCATTTTAAATATACAAGCAGCCTCATTAATTCTTCTGTTTACTTCAACATTTACACTAGGTAAAAACTTCTCTGGGTCTGTTTCCTAATCTGTAAAGTGAGAAGGTTGGAATATATGGACCATCTCTAACCTAATTATTTATGGGATTTTAATTCAAATGTTCTCTGATTATTTTGGGAAGAAAGCCTTTATAAATACTTTTATCACCTGTTGGCTTCTGACTCTCTCTTACCAGGGTGGTCGTGATCAAAATCAGGTCCCAAACAGTTGCAACTGTAAGGAGATGTGTACTTTTAATTTAAAGTTTCTCAGCTTTAGACTCCTAGAGGTCAATAACTATGTACATTTGCATGTTCATTGCCCTCCTACTTCCCCTCCTGAAGGGCAGGAACTAATTCATTTTTGTTTTTGTATCCCCAGACTCTAAAATAGTGCTTTGTACATAAAAAGCACTCAATAAATGCCTGCTTTTTTAATTGATTTTTTAATGCCTCTTATGACACCAAGCACAAAGAAACAATTATAAAATGCTATTCAGAGAATCTCAGAGTTAGAAGGGACGTGGGAAGCAACCTGGTCTAACCCATACCTTGAATCACAATACTAGCTTACCCAGAGAAATGATCATCCAGACTTTGCTTGAAGGACCTCCAGTAAGGATACTGTACATTCATTACCTCCTAAGGCAGCACATTCTAGTTTTATATAGCTCTAATTATAGGAAATTTCTTGTTACTAATAATAATTTTTATCAACATAAAAATCATTTCATCCTACCTTTATCAATTTTGTCATGGTGATCCTTCCTGGAGCTGGAAATGTCCAGAGCCTAATTAGAGTATCATTCCTACAGGTCTCATTTTATACTGTAGCAGTCTCTCTGGGGCAATTCTCCTGACCTTCATTTACACCCAAGGGCTAGTTTCTCAGATGGTACAGCTATCACTTTGCCTTTTAGCATCCTTGGGGTAATCCTAAAGAGGTAGGTGTTTGGTTGGTTGGCTGGTTGGTTTTTGTTGTTTTGGTTTTTTAGTACTGTGGCTTATGAGTCCCCATCAGTGTGTTTTTCAATGATTTCCAATGAGATGACTAGTAGATATGAATTAGCTCTCAGAAAAGTGATTGACTAAAAAAAGTAGAGCAAGAGTAGTTGGTGCAAAACATTTCCTAAAACATTTCCTGAAAGTGTGGGACTCACTCTCTTATAAGTGGAGATAAATCCCTAGGAATGGGGTAACTAACTATAAAGCACAATGGTAGTGAGCACATATATGATAGTAGATGTAGTGTATAATGATGGTAGAATGCTGTCAGTGGCCAAAGTATAAAATCATAACTCCTGATTAAAGCACTTTCTTGAGTACAAAGCGGGCATTTTTTTTTATGGTAAAAAGGGGTCATGGTCTTTGAAGCTACTTTATTCCTTAGGTGACTATCTCTCCTGTATTTTTATGGTATATATTTTAAATGTGCTGATTGCATAAAAGTGAGAAGGATAGCTGACATAGTGGATGACAGGTTCTACAAAGATATTATGAGGCAAAATACTGAGCCAAATTGAATAAGATGAAATTGAAAAAGGATAAATATAAAATTCTACCTTTGGATTTAAAAAATTCATTTCACTCATACAAAACAGAGGAGGAATAGCTAGATTGTAACTCATCTGAAAGAGATCTGAGTGTTTTAGTGGACCACAAGCTCAATATGAAACAACAGTATAATATGGCAGCAAAGAAAGAGAATTAATCTTAGGGTACATTAAGAGAGGAATTATGTCTAACAGTATGGAAGTGATAGTTCTGCTGGACTCAGCCTTGGTCAGACCATATCAGGAATACTGTGTTTAGTTCTGGATATTAGGATATTAATTTAGGAAGGATATTAATTACCTGTATGGTGTTCAAAGGAAAGCAACCAGGAGAGTGAAGCTTCTTGAATTCGTGCCATATGAAAACTGATGAAAGAACCTTGAATAGAAAAGAAAGAAACTTAGTCTGCTTTGCCATTGAAGGCAGGGCTGGGGAAAATAGATGAAAATGTCAACGAGGTAGATTTTAGGCTTAATGTATGGGAAAACTTCTTAAGAGTTAGAGCTACCCAAAAGTGAAGTGGATTACCTGTTCAGGTTCTGGAGGACTTTCAGTACTGGAGACTTTCAATAAAAGGCTTCATGAACATTCACTGGGAATAATATAGAGGAGGTTATTCAGGTATAGATTGAATTAGATGGCTTCTAAGGTAGCCTCTGAGATTCTGTGAGTCTGTGAATTTACCCTTTTTTAAAGATACAGAAGAAGGAGATTGACAAAAGGAGGGAGATTGAACTCATTCTAGGACATGCTTGGTTATAAAATATGACTATAGATAATAATACCAGTTTGCAATAAAAAATGTCAGTCTTAGAAAAAAAATCCTCCTAACCTTCTGGAGCACCTCATCTAACAGTCCAGTTTCGTTTAAAAGAAGACCTTTTCTAGATTGGCGCTTGAGTGATAAATGGTACCAAGGAAAATTCAATTTGCCCTAGGAAGATGATTCCTAGAAATTTCTGCTGCCTCTGGTGTAATTTCAAAGCCATGTGTTCACATGTAAAGGAAGAAGGGAAAGAAAAAGAAAGACAACTCTAGGGAAAGGTAGGAGAATGATAAATGGAATGGAATAGCAGGATAAATAGAGAAAATGAAGAAAAGAGTAATTTAACAATCAGAAACAAAATTAAACAAAATTTGTTTTAGGATACTTCCTTTTAGCAAATATAGAAAACCAACTATTTTTTTGTACATTCTAAAGCTAGGAGTGTATCTTTCCCAAAGAATGTAATATCTGATATCTGAATATTTTGCTGAAAATCTTATTAAATTTGTAATGTATTTCATGGGCCACAAAATCACAGCACCACAGAATTTCAGAATCCGAAGTAAGCAGAATTAGGAGAATAAAAAAATGACGTATGAACAACATTGTAAAGAAAAACAACTTTGGAAGAGAACTCTGATCAATGCAATGACCAACCCTGTTTGCAAAGGATACATGATGAAATATGCTATCCATTCATTTCTTGACAGAGACTTAATATACTTGAGGTACAGAGGCATATTTTTGGACATGACCATTATAGAGATTCATTTTATTTAACCGAAACCCAACCCTAATCATCAATGTATCAAATACTTGACAAGCATTTTTTTTTTGCTTTTTGGTGAGGCAATTGGGGTTAAGTGACTTGCCCAGGGTCACACAGCTAGTAAGTGTTAAGTGTCTGAGGCCAGATTTAAACTCAGGTCCTCCTGAGTCCAAATCCCGGAGCTCTGTCCATTGTATCACCTAGCTGCCGCATTGACAAGCATTTTTAAGCACCTATTATGATACAAAGCACCATACTGACTTAGATGATAAAAAGACAAAAATAAGTAGCTGCTTTCCTCATTCTATCAAAGAATAAATGCCTGACACATAGTAGACATTTAATAAATGCTTCCTGACTGGCTATTATGTGCCAAGCATTGTGCTAGACATTTTAGGTTACAATTACAAAATATGAATCAATCCCTACTCTTAAATAGATTAGATTCTAGCAGGAGAGACAAGAACATATGTGGGTATACATGTATACATATGTTTGTGTGTATCTATCTATCTATCTATCTATCTATCTATCTATCTATCTATCTATCTATCTATCTGTCTATCTGTCTATCTGTCTGTCTGTCTATCTATGTGCATGATCAAGGGAATAAATATAAAGTAGTTAAATACCAAATAGTTTAGAAGGGAGGATACTGGCAAATTGTCACAAGCTGTCACCAGGTTTAAAGTCATCAGGGCACAGATAGGCAAGTTGCATGTCTGATCATTGGAGTTAGTGCATGCAGTTTCCCATGCTCCAATTGTGTTTCACCAAAGGAGTCTTAATAGACCTAAAACTTAAACAGAGGTTCCTGAAGGGGAGAAATAACTGGGGTTTTTTTGCCTGTGATCGCCAGATTCCTTGCACTATTTAAAGGATAGGTCAGGAAGATTAGGCACACGTTGAAAATCCTTGACACTGGTCATTGGACAACACACCAGTTGATCCTAGCTGTCTGATTAGAAATAAGACCCCAGATATTTCAGGGGGCAACAAAACATAGAAAAGATGTTCAAACACTAGGGGGAAGAGAGATAAAAAGCACTTGCTAGAGGATGCATATAGAAACCACTAGAAATAAAATGACAGAACATAAGCAGGTACACTTTGTTATACATAAGAAAGCATAAGTATACAGTAAATAAGTAGATATTAGACTCAGCATAATATGTACACGTCTGAATGCCCATGAACCGATGCAGTAATTCCTGAAGCATATCATCAGCTTAAAGCAGCTCTACTATACAAGTGTTTCAAGGTAACAGATGCTGAGAACAACATAGGTTAACACTAAGTAGATATTCATATACATTTACCTCTGGAAAATGCACAAGATGCAAAAGAAAGATTGAAAATGAAAGAACACTTCTACCTCCAAGTATCTTCTTTCACACAGATATGCACAACTCCATTGTCTGTCTATGTGTGTGTTGGTGCCTTGCAGCCCACTGCCCACAGGACGTCCACGCTGCCTGGCACCTGGACTCTTTCCCTCACTGACACTGAAGGAATAATAATGTCTTCATTTGGCTTCTTCTGCACCTGCTCTCACTGATGCACCCTCAGTGCACTCTTATCTCTGCAGGCTTCCGCTTAAAATTAAAGTATAAATAACACTCCCACCCCACCCTCACCTCTCCAAACTTGTGAATTTCTTTCACTTTTACCTTCTATGAAGTGGAACTGTCCAATGTGCATGCAATCACCAATGAATAAACATTCTACATATCTGTCTGCTACATTCAGAGACTTCCTGCTGACCAGATCCTTGTCAGTATCATTATTAATTTTTGAAAATCTAAAATATAAGAAAGAATAATAATATTTAGCCATTTAAGAAATAGTACCTTGAAAAGTATCCAACACTACAATGAAATAGTCTTCTGATCTCAAGGGAGGGAAAGCTTAGAGCAAACTGAAAGGCTCTTTCCAGAAGAAAGACATGTGTAACACCTGTGTATCTCAGGTTTTACTGCAATTTTAATAAAGCAGGGCAGAAATCTGTAATAACATGTGAGGGCGAAACCTCAAGACATCAACTCATTTCTCATAAGGGAAGTTCTCAAAAGCAGAAGCCAATTAGTCATACTGAGATTGCTTTTCACTGACACTGTCAACTGATCCTTGCCTGGCACTAGCTAAAATAAACTTCAGCAGAACAACTGAGTTTGTCTTTTATGATCATATTTTTATCATAAGAGGAGGGGAGAGATATGAATTCAGTGACAAATGGGTGAGCAACCTTTCCTGTGAAAGAACATAGTTTAAATGTGCAGGACAGTGAAGGTAAGTGCAAACAACACAGAGCAGAGTAGTAGTGTGTTAGTTTGTTTTAATGTTTCCACAGGCCTGGATTTCCTTTTCTGTTTTGGTGAAACTTTAGCTACACTAGAAAAGTAAATCTTTGTTTGAATATTCTCACTAGAAATGTGATTAAGAACTAGGAAATTTAGAATAAGTAGATAAATAACTTTCTACATTCTCCATGTCACCTTGCTGTGGAGGCCTAAGCAATAGGTCTAAAAAAATTTGGAAATTAGGTGAATTTTTGTTTCTATATCTCCTTGGTCTTCTTTTTGCATCTTCTTCATGAATTTCCCTGATTTCACAAGCACCTGATTCCCTCTGGATGCTTTCTGGCTACATGAGGACTTTACCACTCGGACTAAATTAAACATTTAAAAAATAAGAAAAGTTAAACTGATAATCAGCCATTCTAGTTGTCCTCCTCAAGGTACTTTCCAGCTTATAAATATCCTTCTTAAACTGTAACACCCAGAACTGAACACAATATCCCAGATGTGGTCTGCTTAAGGCTTTCTAAATGGAACCTAAGATAATATTCATTTTTTTTTACTGCCACATCACACCACTGTTGATTCATATTGAGTTTGCAGATTACTGAAACCCTCAGTGATTTGTTTTCAGACAACATGTTGCCTAACCATATTTTTCCCATCTTAAACTTGTGGAGTTGAGTTTTTAAAAGTGTAAGACTCAACGTTTATCCCTATTAACTTTCATCTTCTTAGACTGAGCCAAATGTTCTGGCCTGTTGAGATCTTTTTGGATCCTGACTTTGTCATCTGATGTGTTAGTTAATCCTCCTAGCTTTGTGCCATCAAGAGATTTGATAAGCATGTCATCCATGGCTTTATCCAAGTAATTGATAAATGTCATATGCAGTTCATGGCCAAGTATTTGTCCCTCAAACTCACCACTAGTTGGCATCCTCCCAATTCCTTCCACATTGACATAAAATCATTAATGATTTGTCTTTGGATCTGACTATTCAACAAGTTCCAAGTTCATCTAACTCTACCACACTTTGCCACAACCATGCCACACTTTGTATTCATCCTACTTAACCTACTCTCGCTTCCATTTGAAGCAACTGTGTGAGCTGGAAGAAAAAAGAGAAACCATTGATTTTGAACTTTATATAACTAAGAAGAAAAAAAAACAGCTAAAAAGATGTCCTCTTGAATCAGGGGTTATTCTTGGCAAAGTGTTTAAATTTTTTGGCATTTTCTTCAATTAGTGGCAGTCCGGTGGCACAGTAGACAGAGTATCAGGCCTGGAGTCAGGAAGATCTGAGTTCAAATCTAAACCCAGACATTTATTAACTATGTGACCCTAGGAAAGTCCTTAACCTGTGTGTCCCTCAGTTTCCACATCTGCGAAGTAAAGATAACAACAGCACCTATCTCCCAGAGTTACTGTGAGGATCAAATGAGATAATAATTATAAAGGGCTTAGCATGGTGCTTAGTCTATAGTAGATGCTATATAAATGTTTGTTATTATTATTATTTTGTGCAACATTGAACCAAAGCTACCACATTCTGCCTTCTTTTCTTCATTCTATAAAATAAACAAAATTAATCAATGCCTGCATTTTTTATTAATTTGCTTTGATATAGAAACAAAGAACTGTTAATATAAATTTTTAACATTTATAAAATTATGCATTTTCTACTGAATACAATTAAACTTCACTGACATTTTAAAGCATCTATTATGAGCAAGACATTGGTCTTGGCTTGGCACATACAATGATAAATAAATCTCTTTCTCAAAGGAGATTATAATACCATGTGAGGGACACATGATACACCAACAAAAAAGTATGAAACAAGGTGGACTGTGATGGAGAAAAAGAGAAGTCCAGACAAAGTGCCTTAGGGAAATTTGAGGAGGAGAAAGAGATCCCTTTCAATTTAGGGGTATCTTGGAGAAGATAAATGCTGAACTAGGCCTTGATGGAACAGAAAAATTTCAACAAGAGACAATAAGCACAGACATTCCAGGAAAGAGGGGATGCTCTGTACAAAATAGAGAGAGAGAACAGCGTGAGATTTTGGAATAAATAGTAGTCCAATTTGACTGGAACCTAGAATGCAGATGGTGAAACAGAGTGAAATAAGGATGGGAGGTTGTTGGAATCAGATCATGCCAGATTAGAAAGTTTTCATTTTATTCTATTGACAATAGGGAGGCATTGAAGGTTTCTGAACAGTAGAGTGACATAGTCAGACTTGTGAATTAAGAGTTAACTCAGAATTATTTAAAAAAATATTTTTCAAGGTATATGATTCAGCACAGTTTTCCCAAAGGAGAATTCAAAGTATCTCTGATGATAATTTGGGAAAATATTTCTGGATCTGGTTAGAGATAAAGGTCACTAGTGGATAGGTAATGAAAGCAAGCATAAACTAGATTGAATATTTGGAGAGAAGAGCAGAAGATTTTCATGGAGATCCATCAAAAAAAATTAGAGTTCAAACAAGTGGAAAGATAGAATTTAAAAAGCTGCCTAATTAGATCATTGTTAGAAAATACTTGGTAGTTCCTGATTTAATTTATAATACGCCAATATTGTCACTCACTCTGCTCAATAATTGAATGGATAATCCTTTAACCTTTAGGCTTTCATCCCATTAGACTGTGAATTCCTTGCAAGCAGGGACTGTCTTTTGCCTTTCTTTTTATCTTCTTAATGAAAAAATAAAATATCGTATAATTTATTGCCATAATATTATTTTTAAAGGATATTTAGACTCTGTGGTGAAGTTAGGAAGTATATTTTGGAAACGGCATTGCAGTTTCTTCACTCAAGCTATTAGCTATACTTCCTCTATTTTGCAGCATACACAGGTAAGCAGGTATATGCTGTGTTTGCTCTTCTAAAGAGTGGATTATTCCTAGAATGCCACTATGGAGAGCATTTTTTTTTTATGTTCCAGTGAAGTTCAAATTTCTCTTAATCATCAAGAAGGGGTGGAGATTACAGTAATTGTCCAAATCCCTTAAGGTTTATCCCTGATCCTGAAAGACATAGAGCAATTCCAAATTAACTTTCAAATGAATTTGTGTAAACTGTGTATCCTCTCTCAAGAAAGATTAATCTACTGCATTCACTTATAAACAGGATCTTAAATATGCAACAGATGTTCTCCTTTTTAAAAAGTCTCTTGAATTCATTGACAAGCCTTTGGCTAAACTGATGAATTAATTTGTTCAGTGCAGATTTCATAAATCCTCTAATAATTCTTTCCCTTACACATCTTGACTTGATTTTTGAGATCTACAGCATGTGGTTTAAATGTTTTAACCTTTACTTCTTTAATCATCTAACATTTATTTCAGGGTTGGATGATGACCGACCAATGAAAGATATAGTTAACTAGGAAATAAAGTCCAATTTGTCAGTTAAATAAACCCACAGATCTGAATAAGAAGAAGAAATCAATCTGCATTATTGAATTCTGAAATGTTTTGCAGCTTTGATGTAGCCACCCTCTCTCTGTCTCCAGCAGAAAAGCTGAAGATAAATTGCTGGATATTGCCATACAGCAAGACATATATTATAGTTACCATGCTTAGATGTGGCTGATTTAGCTTGGCAGTTTAAATACCAGCTTTTAACTATTCAAATATATTTATTTATGGTGTGTTAGACTCTTTTTTCATTAATGTATGAAGGCTAAGTACCAATTTAACATGGTTGAAATCAAATTGTAAAATAAATTTTGCTTAAGTCTTTTAATTTTTAGCTCTTTCAACTCAACTATGTTTAAGTCAGATACACAGACCAACAGAAAGAGTCCTGTCCTCTCTCTTCACCCTATCTCCAGAAAAGGGGGAGCTATCATCCCCAGACAGAATTGTAGAGACAGAGATAGAGTTTTGATTTGAGAAGGTAGGAGAAGAGATAGGAATGCCTCGTATCACTCAGACTTTAAGAGGGCCATAAAGAAGATGTGGTTAAAACAAGAAAGAAGTATGGGAATATCAGGCAACCCAAAGCACCAAGGAAAAACCCAAACCTATCTCTTTGTTGGTGCTCTGACTTGTCAATACCCCTGAGAAAAGGCACCTAGAGTTTTCCTCACTGACAGAGGTCTTGGGTATAAGCTCCTTCTACAATACATTTTGGATTAAATAAACCCGGCTCATATTCAATGTTTTATTTATTTGAACAAAAAGTGAAGGACCCCTTTAGAAAGAGAAATTTTCTACTGTCATTATTGGAAACTCTTTGTGGAAAAGTAGACAAGAGATTTCTTCTCTCCATTCCACCCATTAATAGAGTATTTGGGTCTGTAATGGCCAGGGGTCAGAATTCAATTTATGCACAATTTATATCACACACTAGTTTATTCCAAAATCATTTAAAAACACGCTACATAAAAATCTTTTTGAGTGTATCTGTTGAAAAACTGGATTCCAAGAGACCAATGAGTCAATGAGCCTTTTATCTTTTAATGAGTCAAAGGAATGCAAAATACATATGAAAAATTGATAAAGTAGTAAGATTTTTCATAGTAGTGATAATCCTGGGAATATACTAGAATTCTGACTAAACTGCTGTGGGTTAGAGGTCTTTTGTCAGAGAATATTCCAGATGTTCAAGGTGTAATGTATCCTATAGATTGCAGAGGATATCCTCATTATGATGTTTCCATTATAAACTTCATTAAATCTGAGCTAAAGTATACTTTAGTGATGGTTTTTCCTTGCCTGCAAGAGAATAAACTGTATGGGTCTACCTTAACAGTTCTGTTTTTTGTCCTGTACTCTCCCTTAAAAAATGAATACTAAAACATAACTATTTCTTCTTGATTAAGGGTTTTTCTGAGGTTATAGGCAGTGGGTTATAGAACCAGTCAAAGTGAGTATATTGGAAAAGCATGGAGTAAAGCTGGTAGACAGAAGTGGAGTTAATGGTAGAAGACAGGGACTGAAACTAGGGCTTATTTATTTATTTATTTTATATATCACATGTTATTATTATTACTTACAGAGATTTCTTCTGAGAACTCAATCAATCTAATACAGATGTATGAAAGTATGAACAATGGTAAGTACTGGTGACAGAAAGCCTAATTGCTGGTAGAAAACATAGCATTCCATCACGAGCTCAGAAAAACACAGGTGTAATCTACTTTTGTGTGTTGTGTTTTGTTTGTGTGAATCTATTTTTGTGAACTGTATAGGAAACTTCAACTATAAGGTATATAGGAAACTCTAAATACTAAAAATATGGCTTAATGAAGACATGTTGCACAAATAGCATTTTCAACACCCACAACTTTGTTTCAGATTTATAAGTGTTAAAGAAAGGCAATACTTTAAAAAGTTTTATTATTATTATTATTATTAAATAATTTTTAATTATTACTTTAAAAAGTGATAATTAAAAATTGAGCTTTTTAAAAATAATTTTAACTATTAAAGTTGCTGCTCCCTTGGAAATATATTGGTAGAAAATATTGTTTATAAATTAAATATTTGTCTCTTGTACATAAATACATAAACATTGGTGGTATTAGGTTTTTTAAGTGAAGTTCATACATTCTTTATTGGATGAATCCTTTTTCAAGATTTTAGTTACATAGAAACTTCTCTAGTAGAGTTTTCCAGAAGCATACAAGTGACCCAGGTTTGGTTTTGAGAGAAGAACACAAATCTTTGTAGCTCTTAATGACATGGAAAGATTTCAAATAATTCTGAGCAACAAAACTAGCCTCTAGTCTGAGGGCTAACCTTGCTAAGTTCAGACAGCTTCATCAGTGAGGCCTGCCACCAGGTGATGAGCCTTTTTGGCCAAAGCAACTCATAGAATCATCTATTAAGTTTCATATAAGCTGCATCAGCAAATGAAGTATGCAGATTAGAATCAGATTTCTTGAAATAATGAAGAAAATTAGGGGGAGGATATGCCCGATAAATAAGGAATGGGGAAAGAAAAATGTTCAATAAAATATTTAAATTCCCTTTAAAAATACAAATATATATATAAGCTTAGAGAGAAAATATCTTGCAAGCACTTTTAACTAGTGAACGTCTTCATTCCATTTTGTTAGTATTGCAATTAGTTTGAATCACATTTCATCTGTAGTTACACTTTATAGTCGCCTAAAAACTGCATTAGGACCATATTTGGCTATGTTATGATTTTAGAAGTTTCAATTATAGATATTATGTGTAGTAATGAAAAATCAATATATGTTTTCCTGATAACAGTAAACTATGTCTCAGAACTACTAAAAAAGTATCTATAGTGAAAGTATACAGGGAGAAAGAATCCTCTATTCAGCTTTACCTGACAACCTCTGATAGGGAAGAAACTAGTCTTTCCTAAGGTAGTATATTTCACTTGTTCATAGCTTTACTTGTTAAGAAGTTGTTCCTTATTTCAAACCTAAATTTTCCTTGTTGCAACTTCTATTCATTGCTCCAAGTTTTACTCCCCTAGTGCCAAACTGAGGAAGACTAATTCCTCTTGTAAATGACACTAGTTGTAATACTTGAAGGTAACTATCATGTTCCACTTCAGTCTTCTCTTCTACAGGTAAAAATTCCTACTTCCAAAGCCCTTCTGCATCCTGGCTGCCCTCATCAGAAAGAGCTCTAGATTATCAATGTTGTTTCTAGTGATGTTTACTAGTACTTTGGAAAATAGGGGGGGAAATTCAAAGTCAAACTGATAAATTATGAAGATAATTGCATTTTCAAAGATGATTGGGAAAAAGGAAAAGAACCTATATATTCTAAAATATTTATAGCAGCTCTCTTTATGGTGGCAAAGAACCAGAAATTGTGGGGATGCCCATTAATTGGGGAATGACTGAACAGGTTGTGGTACATGATTATAATAGAATACTACTGTTCTAAAAAAATAATGAACTTGATGATCTTAGAAAAACATGGATAGCCTTGCATGAAATAATGAAGAACAAAATAAGCAGAAAAAAAGAACATCATAGTCAGTAACATCAATATTGTTTTAAGAACAACTTTGAGCGAATACATCATTTTGACTATTATAAATACCCAAATTAACTCCAAAGGATATATGAAGGAAGATAACTATCTGCATCCAGAGAAAGAACTGATAAATAGAAGTATACATGGAATGATTTTACATATGTATGTGTCTAATGGTGGCCATGTCTAGGACAGGAGGAGGAGGATGGGAGAATAAAAAAGGGAAAAAAAGAAATTTACATGACAATTATATTATATATTTAAAAGGAATAACAAGTTGTACATAATAGATTTGCATTTTCATGTACAATCATCTTTTTGTATTACGCTATGTTATGGAAATATTTGTTTATTCCATAAATAAAAAATAAAATAAATAATTTTTTGAAGACATTCAATGGTGGAAATGAAACTCTGTATACTTAGGAGCTTAAAAAACAAGAGTTATGCTCATAGAGTTGCCTAGAAGGCATTAGTTGGCACCATGGACAGCAGTAATAACATTCCAGTAACTGTGACATGCGCTTTTAAATAAGAGGAAACAAACAGCAAATTTTAACCTTGAGTAATATGCTCATTTTGGCCTAATTGAAATGTTTATTTTCACCCATTGATTTTGTGATGAAGTTTAGTTTTCTTCCCTTCTCTACCTACCCTCAATTAGTCCCCTTTAAAGTATAACCACTTGCATAATAACTATGTACTTTAAAATATTTTATTTGTGACTACATCTTTGATAAGCAGCATGGTGAACAAAGAGCAAGTTGGCTTCTGGGTCAGGAAGAAGTATGTCCAATTTGCCTCTGACTTATATTATCTTCATAACCAGGGGACAAATCATTTAACCTTTTAGTGTTCCTAGGCAGTTCTCTAAAACTATAAATACAAAGAAGCTGTCAATCTGTAGCTAAGGAGGGAATTCCTATGCTGAGTTCCCCATACTTCTAAAATAAATTATCTGTCCCCTCCTGACACACACATACAAAATGTATCTTTCAGATGTACTAGCAATATACAGAGCAAATTTTAAAGGTCAGATTTTTTTTCTCAACCAGTATAATTACCAGTTCTAAATACATCACTTGGTTATTAGTCTTTCTATGTTCCTAGCATTACTTTAACATACCTATTTTCCTAATTTGTGTAAAGTACTGTTGCTTTTAAGGTACTGCCCTTTCAAATGGAGCAGTTCCTTGCTAAGTTAAGGTTTCTTTGGCACTTCACTTATCTGGGGACATCGGTATACTCAGAGTTCTAAGAGAAGCATTTATAATGGCTCAGTTCTGAAAGAACTGTTACTAGTTCTGAATGTAATAGGCTGTAGTATATTGGAGACATATGGCTATCTATACTGGTCTATAATTAAGGGACAAATGTAATTTTTCTGATTATAGACAAAGGATAAGATTTTTATCATTAACCATCAGCTAAGATAAGGTCATTTACAAAGAAGACTCAGAGTCTGAATCCAGAAAAATGACTGGTGAAAGGACAGACTTCAGAAATGCATCATCAAAGTTTGAAGCAGAAAGTGATGGATACTGCAGTTTCTATTGAGGAGTAAGTCTAACTGAGCAGAAAACAACTTAGAAGCAAAGATTCAAAAAAGTCTCTAAAAGGATCGGCTAGTTTAGCTGGGATATCATGCCTAATGAGTTGTAAATTGCTAGCTCTTCTAAGCACTGGAAGCATCTTCTGGACATAATTATTTTCATCATCAAAGACCTTTCATGGACAGTTCCTGAGACAGTAGACACTGAGAGTACCAGAGCTATGATTAACTCTTAGAACATGGGTTTTCCTTTCCCATGTGCCTCTTTGCCAGGATTCTGTAATTGTATGTCCAGTCTCCCTCACAGACACTGAAGATAGCAATGGAAAATGTGACACAAATCTATATATGGATTGTGATGTATTTATTATTCGTGTATTTGCTTTAATATATGAGTATGTGTAGTGTTATTTTTTGCCTTATTGTTAAATAAATGATTATGTTTAATATCTAAAAGATGTCATCAATATGAGAGACTGGTTTGTGTAAATGGAAATGTTTTGTTTTGTTCTGTTTTTTGAGTGGAAGGATCTCAGGAGCTACAGTGGTAAGTAGGGGATATATATTTACTCACAAAAGGGTAACTCCTAGGACTCTGATAGAATCTGAGTGTAACCAGTGGTGTTCCTCTTCTGGGATCCTAGATCTGTTGGTGTGAGAGTAGCTAACAGTGAGCAAGCCTGCCCAGAAACTGGTAGTAGGTGTCCACCCACACTATGTGAGGCACTATCAGTATGGGTGGCCATCACAAACCCTATTGTACTTGAAAGAATAGCCTATACTTTAATTCCAAGAAATAAGTCCTTGTTTGACATATATGGTGATAACAGCAACTTGACAGACATTTATTAAGTACCTGTTTATGAAGACAGCTTTGTTAGGTGGTAGGTCTGATGAAGATTTAGATAGGATGCAATCCATGAAGCAAGGGGCTTACAGTAGAGTAGAAGAATAATATAATCATTGTTAATTATAGCATTCAATATTACACTAAAAGCACATTAAAGAGTTGGAAAACAAAGTGCTAGGTTAGATTCATGAAACAAAAGTCATTGCTTAAAGTGGGAATTAGAGGAAGTTTCATTGAGAGAGTAACATTTGAGTTTAGCTTTAAAGAATACACAGGGGGCAGCTAGGTGGCACAGTGGATAGAGCACCAGCCCTGAAGTCAGGAGGACCTGAGTTCAAATCTGGCCTCAGACCAAACACTTGACACTTACTAGCTGTGTGACCCTGGGCAAGTCACTTAACCCCATTGCCTAACAACAACAAAAAAAGAATACACAAGAGTGTTAACAGTTGATAAGGACAGACAATATTCCATAAGAAACAACATAAAGAATGACATGAGCCAAAAACATAAAGGGAACGACTGGCTACATGGGTAAGTCAGTCAATAAATATTTATTAATTACCTACAATGCGCCAAGCACTAGGGTAAGGGGATAAAAATATGAAAAAAGGAAGTACCTGCTCTCAAGGCGCTTGTAATCTATTGGGCACACAAAAGGAAGCTGAAAAGTGTTAGGGACATGTTAAAAGGGGACACACAACCTGTTTGGAAATGAAAAAATAGCTGGCATGGATCCCCTCCTTAAATGAAGATTTTGGAGTTCATGTTTCTACCCTCCAATCAGAAGGACAGAGGAGACTAATGAAGTAAGAATACCGAGTCTGATTGGATCTTGCAGGATGAGATTTCCTCATTGATGAAGTTCCTAGTGGCATGGAGAAGTCCATAAAGAATCCAATAGAATTCAGCCAATTAGAAGGTAGTATTTAAACTCAGCTCACCTTCATCACTATTAACTGCAAGAAATGTCTCAAATAAAGAGAAGCTCTCAAGAACAAAATTATGAGAACACAAAGAGAAACAATTTCTACTTAGAGTAAAAAGGGAGTTATCTAAAGCAAATTACATAGCTGCACTTGGAACTCACCAGCTTAGGTTTTTAAAAGAAATGTGCAGAAGATGGAAGTGAGGACAATTGGAGGAAACAAATCAAAGCAATGACCCAATCTTATAAAAATAGAGTCAGGAATGCTAAAGCTCAAAATGAGTTGAGACTGAAAGGGAAAACTAAGAACAACAAAAAGGATAGGATTGTTTCAAAGTAAAGTGAGAGAAGGGAAGGAGGATCTCTAGAGGCCTCATGATGGAAAATGCTATCCACATCCAAAGAAAGAACTATGGAAGTTGAATAGCTATCATTTTTTTTTCCTCTTCTGTTGAGTTTTGTTTCCTCTTTCTGATGGTTCCTCCTATTGGTTTTCATTTTTACTTACAACTTCACTAATGTGGAAATATGTTTAATAAGAATGTAAATGTATAGCCTATATAAGATTGTGTGCCATCTTGGGGAGGGCGATAGGGAGGAAGGGGGAGAAAAATTTTAAACTTTTTTTAAAATATAAAGCATATGAAAGTGATTATTGATAAATCAAAATAAATTAATAAAATTTTTTAAAAATAATAAAAAAAAGAAGGGAAGGAGGAAAAAATAGATAGCCCCACTCTTACAGTGAAGAGGATGATGTTAAAAGACAATAGAGAGAGCAGAGTTGCTCTTATTTTTCTTCTTTTTTTTCTCACAAGGAGCTGACCTTTGTATTAGAAAGGACAGAACAAAAATGGCAAATAGAGAGTTCAGTTCAATTCAATAAGCATTTTCTTTTCACATTGTACATTTAAGGTTCAGTGTTTGGCCTAGGGATGCAGACAAACGTAAAACAGTCCCTGCCCTCAAGGAACTTATATTCTGTTGGGAGTGTCAGGGTGTGGAATAGAGCATATCCACAGATAAATGAAAATAAATTATACATAAAGTAATTTTGGTGAACTAGAAGAGCCTCTAATAACTAAGGGTAGGGCAGAACATAGACTTGAAGGAAACTAGCAATTCCAAGGGTCAGAGATTTAGAGCCAGAAGGGACCCAGGAGGCCACCAACTCCAGCCCCCTCCTTCTATCAATGAGGAAACTGAAACACAGAAACTTCAAGTGACCTTCCCAAGGTTACACAACTAGTAAATGGCTGATGCAGGATTTGGACTCAGGTCTTCTTGACTTCCAGTCTAGTGCTCTGACATTCTTGTGCCTGGGATCTTTTCTTGGATCACTCAACAAAATTGTTATGGAAGGAGAAGAGAGCTGATCATACAAGATTAAGAGCCATTTTCTACATGGACTGACATAGACCTGGTATCCAATTTATTTGTGTTGAGCTACTCCATACTAAATAACTCACATTTATATAGTGTTTTAAGGTTTGCAAAATACTTAGCATATATTACACCATTTGATCTTGAAAACAACTCTATGAAGTAAATACTGTAGGTATTATTATCCCTATTTTACAGCTGAGGAAAGAGAAGCTCAGAAAAAAATAATTTGTTTCCCTGTGATCACACAGCTAATAAATATCAGGGATGAGATTCATACTCATCTCTTCTAACACTGTCTAAAGATCTTTATATCACAATGCCACTGATAATTAGTCTGGTCCTCAGAGCATAACCTGAGAGGTATAGATTTATAATGTTACACATATTCCTAGGCACACTTGTGTTTCTCATTGGTCTTCCGGTATCCTCCAACATGCTTTATCCTTGTCCCCACCCCACTGTCCTACTTTTGCACACAACTATCTTAAAACTTTCTCTCTCATGCCTTCGGCCCCATCAACCACTATCCAGAGATCATGTATAACTCCTATGCAGACAATCTTAGTAGATAATTCCTCCCAAACGCATTCTACCACATTGATACTTCAAATCTGTGTCGGGAAAATCAACACTAGAGAGTAATGTTAGGAGGCAAGTATAAACATATGCCTAAATCCAAAAGTTTAGCTCATAAAACATGGTGGGCTATGTCACGAACTTTTTACATCACTCAGACCTCCTCTGGAGACTCATGGGTGTTAAGACTTAACCAGAAAATTAATAAACCACAAAAGGTAGAATTAGCATTTACTTCAATCAGGCAATTAAGTGCCTGAGAACACGATGTAGACTTTAATAGCCTAAATTTCCATACTGTGTAACAATAGTCATTTCTAGACATAGTAATGCATCATTTCTAGAACTTTCATTTCTGCTTTTCAGCATTCAAATCTATGATTAGAAGATACTACTTTTGAACATCAAAAATAATAATACAAGATGTACCCAAGTACAGAGCTTTTTAAATGTATGTATAGTAGCAAAAACTTAGAAAATGCCTAAAATGTTAGGTTTCTTTTAGTTGGATAATGTTACTATAATAATAGCACTAAAGAGTATTATGCCTAGAAACCAAAAGAAATTGGGATGGCTCAATGATATTATAAGCCCCAAAACATTTAATATATTCTATATTTTTAAAATTTCATCTAGTTTTCATATTTGTATCTTTTTGTTTTCAAGGGAATATATTTTATGATGGGGTTATATCTTCTGCAGACAAGGCGTAGGGTTCTTTGGCTTTTTGTTGTTAGGGAATAATAGGAAATGAAGAAAGTTAGGAAGGGGAAAAATAGCCTTAGGAAATATGACCAGTGAAAACTGTGGAGGCCAGTGACAATCTGGGAAATATGTGCATTTGAATTATTACCATATCTAGTATGCCTGCTTAAATATGGCAGAGTGATTAAATATCTCAGTCCCTTTTATTTATTTAATTATTTAATTCTAATTTTTAATTACAACTGTATAACAGACCATTTTATTCTTGCATCTTTTCAATGGTTTCTTCTTTATATTTGCCTTTCTCCTTTCCAATTTGTCTGGATTTGGCTTTACACTCAAGAATCTTTTTGCAATCTTTATCCAGTTTTTGTCTGGTGATAACTACCTTACTAGGGTGAATGCCCACATGGACAGTTGTGCCATTAGCTTTTTCACGCTGCACATGCTCAATGTAGAAGACGTATTTCTTTCTGTAAACCTGGACTACCTTGCCAATTTGCTGACCTTTGTAGTGTCCACGAACCACCTGGACCTTGTCGTCCTTCTGGATGGGCATCAAGCTCCTTGGAGAGCGGGGACAACGTGATCTTGCGCCGAATGTGCGAGGGCGCATTGAAGTGTCTCTTGCGCTTCTTGCTTCGGTCTGAGGTCACGAATGGATTGAACTTCATTTTGGCGAGCGGGACCACCTGAAAAGACTCTTAGTCTGTTTTTAAAAAAACTATATTTTATTGAATTTTTATTAATTTCATTAAATATTTCCCAATTACATTTTAAAATTTTTAATTATTTGATTCTGAACTTAAGAAATAAAACAAACATTTCCATAACATGGTAGAATACAGTCCTTTTGCAATCTGCTCATTCCTAATATCCAAGTGT